ATTAACAATATTATCATTGGTATTTTTTAATTGTTCATTTGATGATATTTGTTTTTGACATTCATTTTGAGTATCATTATATTTATTTTGTAAATCTTGACAATCTTTTTTCAATGTTTCATTTAATACTTTTAATTCTTCAAATTCTTTTGTTAAATTTTCATTCTACAAAATAAACGAAAAACATTCTTCAAAAAAATTATTTGAACAAAATAATTTACACGTTGAGTAAATTCATTTTGTGTTTGTTGTTTTTCATGAAATTCTTTTTCTAATTGATTAATTTTTATATTATTTTCTTGTTGATTACGTTCGATTTGTTCACGTAATTGAGTATTTTCTTTATTTAATTCATCTAATTTTGATTGATACTCTTTAATCTGTTGATCTTTTTCAGTAAATTCATTTGTTTTAGTTTGATCTATGCGAAAGAAAAATAAACGAATAATTTTCTATAAATAATGGGTTTGGCGTTAAATGTTGAAAGGGAAAATGTCGAGAAAAAAGAAGGCAAATATTGAAAAGGAAAAAGTATATAGTATAAAGATCGAAAGGACTGACGTCGAATAGATTAGATAATCAGTAGGAAAATGAAGATAGACAAAATATCGAAAATGAAGCGTTTAATTTTTATTTTAATATGATACAATGGGTGTGGGTGTCTGTGTGGAGAGAGTCTGGGTATTTGCTAAAAGAAGAGATACCTACACTCGCACCCGCACCCGCACCATCGCCCACACCCACGCCATCACCTACACTCACATGCGCACCCACCCACACCTACACCCACACCCACACTCGCATGCGCACTCACCCACACCTTCAAGAGATTTTCCTCTTTATCTTTGAAATCTTCGCTAATGTTACTTTCGATATTTTCCTATTATTTTTTCGACATTTTCCGTCAATCCCTAAATAATAAAAAAACGAACTTTGATTTTCTAATTCATTAATTTGTGTTTTAAGAGATTGAATTTGTTTTTCAAAATCTTGTTTTATTGTATTAATTGATTCATTTAATTTCGTTTCATTAAGATTCTTATCTTCTTGTAATTTTGTTAATTCATTTCGAAGATCTTGTGTTTCACGAACAGCTTGATCTCGTTTTGTTTGATATTCTTTAATTTGAGATTCATAGTGAGTTTCGCGTTCGTTTGATGCCATATTTTGTGTGCGATCTATTTTTAATATGAAATTGAAATCGAAGAAAAGAAAAAGAAATTCAAACCTCGATCTTGTAATTCGGTTAATTCAGTTTTAAGAATTTCATATTGTCTTTCATAATCTTGTTTTAATGTATTTATAGCCTCGGTAGATTTTTTTTCATTAGAAATTTTTTCTTCTTGTAATTTTAATAATTCCGATTGATTTGTTTCAAGTTGATCATTTAATTTTCCAAATTTATTTTCATATTCTTTTAGTTGTATTTCAAAAGTCGATTCACGTTCTTTAAAATTTGTGATCGCTTTATTTTCTATAAATAAAATTCTATAAAATAAAGTAGTTATAAATAGAAAAATTAACCTCGATCATTTAATTCTGTTAATTCGATACGAAGTTTTTTCGATTGTTCTTCATAATCTTGTTTTAATGTATTTATTAATTCATTCGTTTGTTTTTCTTTTAGAAGATTTTCTTCATGTATTTGTTTTAATTCCATTCGAACTTTATCAGTTTCTTGAACAGCTTGATTAATATTTGTTTGATATTCTTGAATTTTTTGTTCATATTGAGATTCTCGTTCATTCACTGCTAAATCTGCTGTTTGATCTATGAATTTAATTTGCAAAAAGAAATGATAAATAGAAATAATAATTACTTCGATTTTCTAAATCGGATTTCAATGTTTGACATTGTTTTTCTAATTCAGGAACAAGACTTTCTTGATATCGTTTAAGTTCATTATGTAAATCATTTATTTGTTTTTCATTTGTTTCTTTTTCTTGTTGTAATGATGTTAGCCTAGATTGGACCTAAAAAAAGAAAATATTTCATTCTTTTCATGTAAACTATTCAAGCATCTGCCTTTTAGCAGATAGTAAGCTATATTAGAAATGTTAAAAAGTACTTCGATTTGAAAGATGTACTTATAACTAAAATATAAAAGATCGAATTGTTTTTTTTTGTATGATCTGAAAAAAATCGAATATTTTTTTATAGAGAATCTATACCTCTTGTGTTTCTTTGGTAAATTGTTCAACTTTTAATCGTTGTTCTTGAAGTTGTTGTTCATAGAAAGTTTCTTTTTCAGATAAAGCTGTTGTTTTATTTTGTTCTATAAGATAAAAATATAATTTTACTAGCGGAAGTACCCGATGAATGTGGATGTGGGTTCGATGTATGGGTGCGACTGTTCTTCATCAACACGCTCAACCACTCATACCGACACCACATTCACACCCTCACTCACCCGATGACGCTCTCAATCTCATCCATCAACTCGCCCACTCTTTCATCCTCACTCTCACCCACTTATTCACCCTTACCTACTCTCTAACCCTCACTCACTCACTCCCTCATCCACTCTGTCATCCTCACCCACTTGCTCGCGCACCCTTATCTTCACTCGCACTCAAGATCTAGGAAAAATACTCATATACACATTCTTTTCCTCAGAATACGTCAGAAAATTTTCGATTTTCATAAACTGGGTGATATTTCACCTAACTCACGCCCCGCTCTCCGATGACCATGCCAAACCCCCGTCGACCTTCCCTGGGACCCAAGGAAGCATCATGGAAATTTTGATGAACGTAGCTATTACAGGGACTGATTACACAGCGAACAGACAGAGATTCTTCGTTATATATACCGATAAAGAAATGAATTTTTATTTTCGTTACCTTTATTTTGAAGATCAATGATTTGTGTTTTAAGTTGATCAATTTCTTGTTGTTTTTCTTGTTTAATTTTTTCAATAGAATCCTTTATTTGTTTATCTTTATCATTTAATTTAATTTCATATTCAGATTTAATTGATTCAATATTATTTAGTTGTTTATTTTTTAATTCATCATTATATTTTTGTTCTAATTCATTGAAACGAGATTTATAATCCGTTTCAATATTATCATTTTGTCGTTTTAATTCTTGACGATGTTCATCTTGTAATGTTTGTTTTTCTAAAACTAATTTTTGATTAACTGATTCAAGTTCAAGAACTTTTTCTTTAATTTGCTCATAAATTTCAATATCTTTTGGTGCTAATAAACGATGACCATCTGGTATTACTGATGTTGGCAGATGTTCCTTATTTGTATCAGTTAATTTATATTCTTCTAATTGAAATTCTAAATCTTCTATACGTTGTGTTGTTTGATATTGTTCTTTTTTTAATTGTTCATTTTCTAATTCTTTAACATCATATTGTTGTTTAAATGCTAACATACGACTTTCCATTTCATCAACTTGTTGTGCTGCACGAGAAAATTCTAAACGATCTTGTTCACGTTGTGATTGTAATTTTTCAATAAATATATCTTTTTCTTTTATTGTTTGAACTAAATTTGTTAATTGATTTGATGATGGGGCTACAGCAGCTAATGTAGCGGCTGCTTGTGTTAATAATGATTTTGTATTTGGTGTTCCATAAACATTTGTATTTGTTACTAATTTTTGTTGTTGAATTTTACCAGGTGTACGCATTGGAATACGACTTATACTATTTGATGATGTAGAAAATTCAGATAGATTCGAATGAAGAGATTCTTGACTTGTTGAACGATGTAATTGAGGATTATTTGTACTTGAAGAAATAGATGCTTTTCGAGCTAGAATTTGAGATTGTGTCATTTCATTAGTTACTTTTTCTACACGTGCCAAAGGTGAAAAAAGACCATAGCGTTGTTGACATGTGAAATATCGTTTTCCACTAACACTACCGTCATTTTTACCCAGTGGATCATCGAGTTGTATACCACACCAAATACCTTCAGCGACATGAATTTTACCAAGATATTTTAAAGTACCAAATTTCGTTCCACTAACAACTACTCGATCACCTACACGAAGTTCTTGAGATGAAGATAGTTCTGTTGATAGAGTTTGTTCATTTGTAGTTATACTAGTATCAACTACTGTTGTATTTACTAATGTTGCATCAGCATCACCTCCTAGAAAGACAAAAAAAGCATTATTTCTATACATATTTTCATAGAATATATATATAGATACCTTTATTTAAATTAGATGTTGATGTAGATAATTTTGATGACTCATTTAATGGAGTTGTTTGAGATTTTACTGAACCGGATGTCTCACCACCACTATTAGCACCATTTTGGATAAGACGTTGTACTTTAGCAGCACGACAGAATAAACCACGATTTGCTTCAGTTTCAAAATAGCGAGTACCTTCATATGAACCATCTTAAAACAAAAAAGAATATAAAAATGAAATTATCTTTTTCTGTTGGTTCTTACCATTTTTGCCTTGAGCTTCATCAAGAATAATACCAATCCATTCACCTAAATATGAATCGTTCCGTATAGAAACCAAATCATTTAGTATTAATCCTACCATCAGCAAATTTTGTCGGACCAATAAATGCTACAGCGCCTGATTTACCATTAGCAGTAACACGATCACCAATGACGAATGGATTATTGGAAGAATCTCCGCCAGTTGGACTGACTTGTTGAGATGAAGCTGCAGCTGTTGAAGATTGTTGTGGAGGACGAAGACCAGATTTAGAAGTAGTTGTTGTTTTTGATGGTGTTACTGGTAAACGACTAGTCGGTAATTTACTCATTCTAAAAAGTTCGTTTACTATCTATAATATCAGTTTATTTTATTCATTATCAGAAATATCAAAGTATAAGAAGAAAATATATATACATTTACATATAAAGAAGACAGATTGTGTTTATTTTTTTTGTTAATAACGTTTTAAACGTCGAAATCCTGAGTATAATAGAAACAGAGAGAAGAATTTTTTTGTATAATAAAAAAATAGTTTTATGATGCTATACAAAAATGATCATTACGAATTTGTACAAATTTATTTTTGTCGATGAAGAACACTACGAATTTCTTTATCTGTTAATGGTATACCAGCAAGTACCTTGTCAATAATATTGGAATTTGGTCTATCACCTTTTGGAGTAGTATCTGATCGAACAGTTGTTGTTGTTGGAATGGATTGTTTATTACGTATTGCATCATGAGTATTACGATTTGCTATTTTATTATAATAATCATTTGTTACTTTCGGTGCCGGTGGTGTTGGTATTGGTGCATGAATTCGAGCTGGTCGTTCAATACGTGTTGAACTTAATTTTGGATTACGAATAGTACTCATATCAATATCATTTTCATCATCTTCAATATCATACCGAGACACTTTGTTTCTGGTTGATGGATTTGGTAATGCATCGATCAGTTTGAATGTTGGCGTACCTACAATAGAACAATATTTAAATGTACAGACTTGAATTTAATTTAGAGAGAAAATCTCTTTAGGCTATTCATCAAGAATATATACAACGTGTAATTTTTATATTTCGTTGAAAACTTTTATGAAAGTTTCATTAATAAAATCTCATTCGAATCCTATTGTTTAGATTTTAGAGAAGTTGAAAGAATCTTAAAATTTTTCATCAATATTTATTGAACACAGTTAAAACAAAATTATCGTTTCAAAATCTTCCTTTTCACAGATCTGCTTTTTTTCTTTGAACGAGCACGCTTACGTGCAGAAAGTATTTGTATTGGTGGTGATGGTGAACGTATTTCATTTCGACTTTTTCTTCGATCACGATCACGTGAAACACTTCGAGCTCGAGTAGTTGATGTTGATGTTGATAACATTGTTGTTGTTGTTGTTGTTGCTGCTGGATGACGTGGTGACTTTCGTTTTGGTAGTTGTTCAATTTCTTTTACTTCTTCATCATCATCATCATCATTATCATCATCATCATTTTCTACATGAACTACTGGTTTTCTTGATGAAATAGCACCAATTGATGAACGTCGTTGACGAGCTTTTCCACTTATAATTTCTCTTAATCGTTGATAATCACCTTTATCCGAATAATTCATTTGAATAATTTCACGAAAAAATTGTATTAAACTTTCCATCATTTTAGATGATACTGGTTTTTTATTGGTAAATACATTTCGAACAAAACCTGATGGATCACTACGTGCCGTCATTTTTTCTTGTTGAACACGTGCACCATCCGTTAATTTTATCCATGGTAAACTTGCACCAAGCCAATGTAACATATTATAAAAAAGAATTTCTAAATCACCACGAAATGATGGTACAGCACCACGATGTACATCTAATGAAGTAAATTCTAATGTACCTTCATGTCTTCGTTGAACTTTTTCTTCATATTGTAATGACGCTTTACGACTAAGACCATAATCAAGTAAATAAATATGTACAGAATCATTCAAAAGAATATTTTCCGCTTTAATATCAGCATGTACATAACCATGTGAATGTATATATTCAAAAATATCAAGCATTTGTTTACCAATTGCTTGTACACGTTTTTCATTAAGACAATGACCAATATTTGTACTTGTTAATTGAAGTTCATCAGCAAGTGTTTGTTTATAACGTGGAATAACTAAAAATCGATAACGACGTTTACTTGTTAGACTATCATGCATTCCATGAGCTATTAATTGTGGTACACCTAAATGATCAAGTTGATTGGCTTTAATAAATGTATCTTGTAAAGTTTTCTTTCCTAATTGTAAATAAAAATGCATTTCACAAAAAAGTGGACCATTTGAATCTGGTTCAACTTTAACAACATAGATTGGAGTGCTTGATGATGTACTACGACATTCATATATACAACCGAAACCACCTTGTCCAATTGTTTTACCAATTGTCCAAGTTTTACGACAAAGATCTGTTAGAATAGTTCCATTTGTAAATGGTTCAGCTAATTCATATAATGAAGCTGCACCACCTTTCTTTCGACCACCTGCAGAAGCGGCATTATTTGCGGTTCGTTTCGGTGGCATAATCTTAAAATACAAAGAAACAAAAAAGTCTTTATCGTTCATTCTTGATTTTTAAGGTAAAGATATAAAAGAAAAAGACAAACAAAAATGTTTTTTTTCTGAGCTATATGAAGATGCTTTTGTTTTTTTCTTTTTTCTCTATGAATGTTTGTTTTCTTGAATATACATTCTACGGAAAAATCAAAGTACCAACACACATATAAAGAAGAATCAAGAGAAATACAGAGAGAGAGAGACAGAAAAAAAGAAAGAAAGAAAAAAGAGACATACACACGAAAGAAATAACATATACTGTTTTATAAAAACAAACAAACATTTATATACAATGTGTTGTATGAGAGAATAATTGTTTTAAGTGATTTCCATTCGTATGATTTAGAGTTTTTGTTTTTTTTATTTTCACTGTAATTGATCTTTCTCTCGTTTTATATCACATTGAATATACAAAGAGAAATAATAATGTCGAATATTTATCACAAATCTAATTTAAGTTTTGGTG